CATACCCGAGGAAGATGAGGGAGTTGAAAAATTCTCAGATGGACTTATTTTCCGTATAATATGAGTAACAAAATCACGATACCATGTAGAAGGAATTCTGGCTCGTTTTCCTCATCCTAGCTCACTGTCTACTTGCACTCCTTGCTCCTCCACCGTATTGTCCAGTCCCTCAACACACACATCCTCTTGTGCGGGATGCTACACGGGTTGCACCGTAATACCAGACCCCCCCTCAAGAATAGACGCTGCCTCCACCCCCCTCAATGCATACAGCATCCTCATCCTCACTCCATGTCCCATCCTCACTGTTCGCCAGCATAGGAGTCACTATATTCTGTGGTTTGGTAGTTACAAAAGGAAATTCTTTCTCAAAGAACTTCTCATCCCTTGATATGAAGTACACATGTGTTTCTAAATCATACAACTTCCAACCTTTCTTTCCAAAAGGATAGCCAACAAAAATACACTTACGACCCCTACTTGAAAATTCATCACCTTTGTGTCATTGATTATGAGCATAGCAAAGGCAACCAAATACACGAATAGCATCATAAGAAGGCCCTTTCCCAAACAGCATTTCATATGGCAATTTAGACTAAAGTAAAGTAGAGGGTGTTCTATTAATCAAGTGACATGCTGCCACAACACATTCTCCCCAAAATTTGATTGGTAAGTTGAAGCTCCCTTGAAATCTTAATGCTCTGGCCACATTTAATATATGTTGGTGTTTTCTCTCAATCCTCCCATTTTAATTTGGAGTGCCAACACAAGAAGTCTTAAAAATAATTCCATTATTTTGAAAATAATCATGCAAACAATTAAAATTCAGTCACATTGTCACTTCTCACACTTTTTATCACTTGTTTGAATTGTCGTTCAACCATAGTAACAAAATTAAGAAACATAGATTCAACTTCCATTTTATTGCATAGTAAATATACCCAAACTCCTCTTGAGAAATCATCAACTATTGTTAAAAAATAGGTAGCTTCACATGAAGAACGAGTCTTGTAAGCCCCCCACAAATCAAATGAACAAGTTCAAAAATCCTACCAGCTTTATTCGTACTGATGGGAAACCTAGATATAGGTTGCTTTGCATGCAAACATACATCACAAGCTTTATTACTTCTCCGACAAGAAGGACTCACAGTTGGAATCATCTTCACTATTTTCTTCGACGGATGCCCCATTCATTGATGCCATAACTCGAATGATGAATTACCATCCACTGTTAAGACTTTCACTTGAGGAACACCACGGAAAAAATAAAGTCCATCCAATCTTTCACCCGCTCCAATCACCCTCCTCATCGGTTGGTCCTGTATAACACAAATATTATTAGTGAATTGTACAATGCAATTTGATTCATCGATTAATTGAGTCACAGAAATTAAATTGCATGTTAATTATAGGACATAAAGCACATGATCAAGTTGTAATCCTCCTGACAACATGACACTTCCTTCTTGGTTTGCTTCTACCGTGTTTCCATCCGACAATCCCACCGGGTAGTTTTTCACTCTTCTCACATTTCTCAAAATAGATAAGTCACACGTCACATGGTTCGACGCTCCTGAATGAATACTCCAACTAAAAGTATTGTTCTTACCATACAGTCACTCTTTTGTTTTGGCTAAGTTCAAAAGATCAAGAAGTTGCTGCAGTTGCGTTGCTGAAACACCCGCAAGACCCACAGCTTTAGTTGCACCCGCCAGCCCTTGCGAGTTCCCTGCCTGCTGCCCAAATGAAGCTCCAGCCCCCCCGGTTTTATTTGCGCGGATAGGTGGTGCACCATGGCCTCTGCCACGACCAGAACTAGCACTCCCACCTCCTCTACCTGTCCGTCCTCCACCACGACCTGATCCCCTTCCTTCGTGAGGTCTGTCCCTCCACCATTCAGGGAACCCATGTAATTGAAAACAAGAGGATTCGTCATGGCCTTCTCTATTACAATGATTGCAAAACTTGTCAGTATTATCCATAAGACGAGACTTCCCATGCGCATCAGGCTGAATTGCAAGGCCATGCTACTATCTCGTTCTTCCTTGGATGAGGACAACTCTCCTCCACGCAGTCTTTCCGCTTGAATCACTTGTTGATATGCTCTATCAAGCGTCGGCAATGGCTCTTATCCAAGCAGATGTGTTCGAATTGAAGCATATGCGCCATCGAGGCCGATAAGAAAGTGATGCAGATAGTCCTCTTCTCTCATTCTTTCTACCTGCGTGACTATGTTACACGTGCAATTTCCACACGTACAAACTGACACCTTCACATATGTTGTCAATTTGTCCTAGATTTTTGACAAACGACCAAAATAAATGGCCACACTCTCGGTTTTTCCTTGCTTGCACTCCCCCAAGGACGTCTTTAATTGGCATATACGAGTGCCGCTCACCACACAAAACCTATTTTTGAGATTGTTCCACAAGATTTGTGCATCATCATATTCTCCAAGTGTCGACCGAACGGATAGCTCAATGTTATTGGTCAGCCATGACACCAACATCGAATGCACAGTTATCCAATCCTCAAGTTTTTCCTTTGTTGTTGGCTTCGGAACCTTCCCTTCCACAAAGCCAAAATTTCTCTTCGCCTTTAGTGAGGTTCGAACTGCCCTCGCCCATTCATCATAGTTCTCACCACGTAATTGAATCGGGGTAATAATGTTTCCCGGACCGTCACTCGATCTAAGATGATATGTCATATCCACCTTCTTGTCACCATCTCCTTTCTTTTCTCCCACTTTGTCAGTCATGATCTCTCGTGGATGTTATAGTATTGAAAAAAAATTTGTGTTTGCCCTAGAATTTCTTAGGCTCTGATACCATGACAAATTCTCCACCAATTTCTCTGCCTTCTTCATTCACCATCAAAGAGTATATATATTACATTAAGTTGAGTCACCAAAATCTCCTAAAGATCCTCCTAATCACAAAGATCTATTTACCTAAAATAACAAAGATATTCACAATAATCTTAATAATAAATTATACGATAAAACTATGTATAAAGAACAATATGATTAATTATCATAGTTTGGGTAATTATTATTTATTCATAATTTATAAAAATAGTTGTCATATATTAAATAAACTATGTATAAAGAACTGTATGATTAATTATTATAGTTTGACTAATTATTATAATTTATTTACAATATATTAAAATAATTACCATATATTAAATAATTTCTTCTCGTTTAAATATAATAATGTTATGCATAGCATACTTATAACACTATTATTAACTACATTTTAATTTAATAATTAGTTTATTATACTATTAATAAATAATTTACTAAATTGTTTAATTATTAAATTATAGTATAATTTATTAATTTTAAAAACACTATTAAGATCATTATACTATTAATATTATTACAATTACAATAAATACAAATTATTTTTCATGCAATTATCATCATACTTTTAAAAGGCTAGTAAAATGGAATGTAACAAGTAGTCCTTCATAAGAGGTGAAATACTAAGGCACAAAGCATAAGGCTAATGAATTTTTCTTTTTTTTTAAATTTTTCTATAATTTTAAATATTATGTGAAGATAAATTAGGGATAAATTTCAAATTTTCTATGAAATAACATACTGAGATAATAAATTAATAGTGTGAGCAAAGGTTTCAAAAAAACGAGGAAATGCATAATTAATAAGAGGTGATATATAATTAGTGAATAATTAATTACAACCAATGACATTTAAAAATTATCAAACCTAAAAGGGAAAAAATAGAAATCAAAAGTTTTGACAAGACAATTCTTTTTTAAAATATGTTTGCAAAGTAGATAATTTTGTATAGATATATAGATGATGTAAAGTCACACGTTCATGAAAAGAACACAAAATAATATACTATTATTAAGATTAATTGAAGACCGGCACATATTTCGTAAGAGAAAAGATCCAGCAATTACCTATGACCAGGTTGTCGCCGCTCGCCGGACATGATTTGATGAAAGGCAAGACGATGATTTGAAGTGAGGCGTCAAAGAGAGTTTGCTGTCGGGCCGAATCTAGGTACAACCAGCCGAGCCAAAAAAAGAGAGAAAAAAGGTGAGATTTAAAAAAAATTTTTGGAGAAAGACGTGATTTGCTAATACGTAGTCAACTGAGATGATAATTTTAGGACGTGTTTCTGTTACAATAGGATATAATCGGAAAATTATAAAACTAATTTGATTTTCAGTGAATGGGCACTTCAACTTCTAAAATGTTGTTATGTTCAGTATGTGTGAATGAAAAATGAGAATGACATGATATTTCCTTCTCATTCATTCACACGTACCAAATGAGGCATTAGAGTTATTTCTAAAATGTTGTAACTCATATACATATACACACACAAAAGTGAAAAGAAAAAGTTCCCTCCAGCCATTTTATCTCTCGAATTTCTTAACTTGATGTCCAAATTTACCATCTTCTCTAGAAAAGTTAAAAGCTCTATATTTTCATTTCTTTTTGAGTAATTGCGAAAAGTTTCTAAAAATACCAACTCTCCCAATAAATTCTTAAATGATCTTTCTTTTGATTTAAATTAGCTTGATTTTATGTTTTGATGTTGAGTTGAGAGGGGGGTAAAATGTTTCAGATAAATCCGATGCCAGTCACCATCAGTTTTCTTATAGTAAGACATAAATACAAAATGGTAGATAAGTTTGAACAAAGTCGACGCACATCTTTGACATTGTGCTAAATTGAATACAAATGGCAACCAAAAAGTCAGAAAATAATGTGCAATCAAACTTGTCGCATTGACACTGTAAAGTAACTTTTGAAAAAACATGAATATTCTTGTTTGTTGCATCATTATTGACAATCAAACCATACAAAATAAATTTGCAACAGCAATGACATTGCACACATCATTTATTGCAACACCACTTGTAAAAATACATTTACACAAGATCATACAATCAATAGCATGAACATCTTCAGAAAATTTCAGCTGACAGAACAACAGTAATCTTGGAAAAGAAAAATGACACAATGAGGCCAGAAACGCACATGGGCCAGCATCAAAGAATTCAATAGATAACAAAATTATGGGCGAGAAATTAATATGATACAAGGGGTTATTGACATTAAAAGGCGAAAGAACAAAAATGCCGCAACAAGCACTTCCTCTTCTATCACCAATGCGCTATAAATTCCAAAAAAGAGATGTAGGATACCCTATCTACTATTATCTGTGGGCCTGCAATATAGGAACATGACTTGTCAATAAAAAAATTATATCGATTACAAATGTGAAGTCAAAAATAAATATTAGTACTATATAGGTTGCTCCAAACACCATCATAACAATAAGTATATCGAATTATATACACCACCATCAACCAAAAGGTTCTGATAAAGACATTGTATTCTTTACTGAAACTAGCTTGAATATCACGTAGGCAGAAAACTGTAGAATTGAAGGATAAAGCTATCACTATTTCTTTTGTTATTTCTTAGAAAAAGCGTGAGCTTTAAATTTATTCATACTAAGTGAAGATGTCACTATGTATGCATATAGTTTGCCTTGAACTGGAAGTCAATTGAGATAGTCAGTTGTGTTAAGGAATATATTATAGAAATCTATAATACTAAGAATAATATATTAAGAACATATGATTGAGAGATATTAGGGATATGATTGGAATCTCATACCTCCTAACCTCTATTTAAGAGAGGTTAGAATTAGATGAATAATATATCTTCTTGGCCTTTTTTTTCCTATTTCTCTATATAGTATCAGAGTCATCCTCTTGATCCTAGAGAGACCTCTTTCTTCTTCCTCTGCATTGAGCCGCCAAGGGGGTTTTTGCCTAAAACTTCGCATTTCCCCTCGGTGGCCTCGCCATCAGATTTAACATTGATGCACCGCTCTACCACTCACAACCTCCGTTCACAGCAAAACCCTAGAACTAATCTCGCTACTTCGCGAAATAGTGTTGTTGACCCGTGAGCACTGCTCATCGGCAGTAGTATTATTCATCAATAATACTATTCATCCATCTTACAGTTTGCCACGCCTTACTATTTATTGCAGATGCTGTACATGAGTATTGTTTATCGCGGTGCAGTTCAGCGCGAATTGCTGTTCATCAGGACCATTAATCACCTTCATGCCCTAAATCCTCACCTTTGATGATTGATCTCGCCTAGATCTCGACAATTCGATTTCGTCCTCATTGTCGACATTTACCTCCTTGTCGATCTTTGCTTGAGCCCAACGTCAACTCCACCATTTGTTTGTCAAATCCTTAAAAGAAGGATCATTCGTTGTTAGATCCTTCAAGAAAGGATCATTTGTTATTGGATTCTTAAAGAATGATCATTTATTGTTAGATCCTTCAAGGAAGGATCATTTGTTGTTGGATCCTAAAAATGATCATTTGTTGTTGGATCATTAAAGGATTATTTGATTGGTGGAGCCCTAGAGGGGATCAGGTAATTTGAAGACATCAAGATGAAAGATAAGAAGATCAAGATTATTTTGAGGCATCGTCATAGATTAGAGTGTATGTGTTATATTTGTAATAAGCTGGACATGTATGATAGTATGAATAATATATTAGGAATATGTGATTGAGAGATATTAGGGATGCGATTGGATATGATTTTATCTCATACTTATTTTATAATATCCTCCTTACCTCTATTTAAGAGAGGTTAGAGTAGATGAATAATATATCTTCTTGGCCTTTTTTTCTATTTCTCTACAATCTAAAATTTAGTCTCTCCAACTATTAGACCAAAACTCTAAAGTTATGGTGGTGGTTGAGGATTATAGTTTCATATCACTTCTATTATGCCCTCGCAGGTAGAGCGCTCTTTTTATGGGCTGCAAACCTAGACTCATGCAGCGGTAAAACTTTTTTTTAAAATCCACATTAAATTCGTGGACAATAAGATTTGAACCTGGGTTGTTTTGATACCATCTCAAATTTAGTCCCTAACCATTACACCAAAACTCCAAAGTTATGGTGAGGATTAAAAATTATAGTTTTGTATTAATTCTAACAAGTACTAATATGGACTGAAAAGACATGAAGTGTCTTCCTATATAACCAAGTTCCTGCATGCACTCAAACGAACTAGATAAGAGATCTTGATGGTTCTCTACGTAAAACCCTTCCATGCCTAAGGTAAAACCCTTCCATGCCTAAGGTTTAAGGTAGGAATACAAGCTTGTGGATTGATGAGAGTGAATAAAATTTTACAAGATGGTGTTGGAGATCATGCTTCTTAAAGGTGAGTCATAAAGGACAGATTCGATGGGAATCATGAAGTACCAAGTTCCTAGTCTTATATAGAACCAATTTCAGGCACTGACGAACTGCACTTCAACTTCTCTTTTTCAAACTTGTTCTGCATAGCTGGAATGACTTCCACATTTTGAATTCATGTACGTATCAGAGAAAGTTATGAAAAAGGAGCATAAAGATTTCCAAGACAGTTGATATCTTTGAGGCTGAAAAATAGAACAGTTGAAGAATCTCATTGAGAAATTTCAAAGGTGGGTTATATTTTTTATGAGCATGTGAACTTACAGGCTCCATCAAAAGTTAAAATTAAACCTGACAAATGAATGCAGGACTGCATTTATGCACCAATCTCAAAAAAAATGATAGCATGGCAGGGCACTGAACTAGCTGACACCTGTGATACAAAAAAGAGACTATGTATTGCTTGGAGAGATAGATGCCTATAACAACACACCACTATTTGATATGGTATCCAGTGCCCGGATGAGCTCAAAAATTCTTCAATTTATAGATTAATTTTGTTGTCATTTATTGCCAGCATTCGAGGTGGGTAAGACATATTCAGTTAGAAATAGAATATCGAGGCAAGACTTAAAAGCACCATCCAGCAGTAAATGAAGGCATAGATAATACACAAACTACTGTTAAGAGATCACCTAATCTCATACAACAAACACTCTCTTCCTCCAAGCACCTCAAAAAAAAAAAAACCTTTCTCCGTCATCTTTTTCTCTCCTCCTATCAATGCAAACATGGGGAGTACGATTTATAATATGACTAGAAGCAGTTACAGTGCAAATGAAAAAGCCAAGACTTCAAGGCAAAGTGTTGATGATGATCTTTGGTTTAAATATTCGACTTTAGATACCGATCCTGTAAATTAGTCATAATGTTACATCAGTGTCCTAAATCGTAATTGCTATCTTTTACTTTTTCATTTAAGCTACGCCAGTTTCGTCCCTCTAGTTAATTTCACTCTCACTGTAGAGAAATTTCCTTAGGGTCTCTGTCAGATTTAGGTGTTAGCTCCGAAATTCTTCAACTCATCCTTCTTATTAACTACATCCAATCTCAACTGTAAAGCCAGCTGGAACCTAAATTTTAACAACACCCAACTTTAATCCGACGTTTAGAAACCTAAACTCAGTTCATCGTCCTCATATCCCCCATCTTCCCCAACAGCCAGCAATCTACCCAACACTTGAGTCCATGCTCCATGATCTCTTTAAAACCCACCAACATATCTTCGTTCATGTTCTAACGCTCCCTCAAACCTGGTTTTTCCCTCTTCAAGTGTCATTCTCGCCTCAACTACAGATCCCTTTAACCCCTCAATATTTCCTCGACTTATCGCTTGTTCCTTTCACTTTCCACAGCTCTCATCAAAACAAAAAGTGCCAGTTTGAGTTGGCAATTGCAAGAGTCTATTCTTGACAGAAATTGAAAATGTTATATTTGATAATCTTATTCTAATGACCATGATCTTTTATAAGCCATTACAATCAAAGATGCGTGCTATAATCAAGCCACATGTCTATCATCAAAGAGTAGCACGTGCTATAAATTAATCAAGGAATAATACAAGTTAGATATCCTTGATTGTCAACACATGCCCTACAGGCAAGCCATAATATCTGTAATAATGATATTCTAACATCCCTTCTCAAACTCAAGTAGGAGCAAGCTTGAGTTTAGAAATGAAAAATACAAAAATCTCCATGATTAAAGAGCAGTGTCAAAATGTTAGCCATCTGGAGTCTTGATGAAAGATCCTGAGTCGATGATATAGATGACGAATGATACATAACAGCAAAGGACAACAATCCAATAGCAATGAGATCGGATGGCAAAGGGTACGAGCCCAGGGACATTAATGAAGAAAACCGAGTGACGATGAGATTGACGGTGAACGATAGGAATCTCCGGGACATCGACCTGAAAGAACTCAAAAGTTGATATCATGAATGTAGTGAGGAGGATCTCATCATGAAGAAAATCTCAGTGATTGATGTCAGAACCATGGAGAAAATTTCAGTGTCCCATGGGATGATCGTAAAGTAAGCTGTAAAGACTCTGACAAAAGATAAAGTTGAAGTACTGAATATAATGGTGATGGGACTTTCAAAGGTCGTCAACAAGATGGAGGAGCTTGACAATGGACGGAGAATAGAATCGGTTTGGCTTAAAAAGTGACGAAGACAACATTTTTATCAAATATGCCGAGGGAAAAGCACAGAAATGGTGCTTTGTCAAAACCCCCTCAACGACCCCGAGGTCTAGAAGATTGGAGAAGTCCTCTAGAATCAAGAAGTAGGCTCTGAAATGTTAGAATGAATGTTAGAATGTCATTGATAGTATATTGTGACTTGACTATAGCACATGCGTTCATAATCAGGAATATTTGACTTGGAATATTCTTTGATTATAGCACACATGTTTGATTGTAATAGCTTATATAAGGTCATGTTAATTAGATAAGATTATCAGACGCTAATACAATATTCTCAATTCCTATCATGGTATCAAAGCCACCTAAATTTTAAATCTTGTTGGCCACGAATTTCTAAAGCGGATTAAAAAAAAGATATCGCTCTGTGAGTCCAAATTTCAGCCCATAAAAGGGCCTTCAACTAGCTGGGGCATGTTAGACTATAAAAGTTATAACCTTCAACCCTCACCACAACTTCCGAATTTTGGCGTAGTGGTCGGGTCCTTTAACAATTCTCCTCAAAATTTAATCAACATAAAAGAAAGACAACAAAAGTTGGATGACCTATCATTTTAAAAGAGTATCACACAGAACCCAAGGAAAACCACAAAACAATTAGCAATCTGAAACAAGTTTCCAAAAAATACTTAGGTGCTCATTGTTTATTCTACTCAAAATATAATCAACGCGAAAGAGAGACAACAAAAATTGGATGATCTATCATTTTTTGAAGAATTTCACACTGAACCCAAGGAAAACCACATACAAGTAGCAATCTGAAACAAATTTCCAAAAAATACTTAGGCACTCATTATTTAGTCTACTCAAAATATAATCAACATAAAAGAAAGATGACAAAGAATTGGCTGATCTATCACATTTTAAAGAATTTCATTCAAGACCCAAAAAAAACCACAAACAAATAGCAAGTCGACTTCACACGCACTTTCCGATCACCTCCGACCTCCATTTTCGTCGATTTCTTCTCCGGTGAGTAGATCTACATATTTCCTATCACCTCCAATTTGTATCACACTCTAACTCACTCTCTATCTCTCTCGGTATCGTCCGAAACATCGATCGACGGCAAGCAGTTCGCTGAAAACAGCAGCACTGTGCCAACTTCGCACGCGTTTTCCGGCCACTTCCGATCTCCGTTTCCGCCACCGTCTTCACCGGTGCGTAGCCCTTCGTGTTGTCTATCACACAGTTTATTCCTTTTACTTGGGCTCCTTATCTACACATCGTTATATTCATTCGAATATCGCTAATCGCTACTAATACCTCTCTTTTGTATAAAAAAAAAAAAAACTTAATCATTTACTGTTTTGCCTCCTATTCATGCCATAGCTCATGCATCATCATCTCCATTTTTCAAATTAAATTTTCAAGATTTCTGTGGGCAACAATGTTTTTCCTTTTCTTTTGAGAGGGGAGGAGAAGGTAGGGGTTGACCGTCGCTAAATTAAAAGGGTAATTCTGTTTTGAATACTCTCACTCAACCCAACTACAGTTAGTGAATCTGATAGAAATTTGAACGAATGAATTGACAACAAAATAGCATATATCATTTATAAAATTTGAGGGGACAGATATCAAAATAAAAACAATCTACAAAACCAGGATGTAAGAAACTGTTAAACATTAAAAATAAGATGTATTACCTTTCATTCTCTTATTAAGATTAACCAAACTTGTGCTTAAATAATTTCCTAGCTTAACATTAGCTCAAGGCAGGAAGGTCTATCAAATCTATGCCTTTTAGACTACAGGATAACGAGAAATTCAAGAAGTAATTCATGATTTCCACATTGCGGTATAAAAGATCTTTCAACTCACAAACAATTCATAGTACCAACAATGTTACATAAGAAAAATAATGGTTGAAAATTTTTAAATTTAAATAATATGGTTGCTCTTGAGAATATTCTTAAATTCAAGTAGATATACAATTAGATACTAACAATTAAAATGAGCATAAAATAAAATACAAAACTAACTTTAGGACTGTTTTTTTTCCTCCTATTTCAACAATAAAGTAAATACATTAAGTAAGTAATGCAAATTTATTGTTGACATAACAACCAATCACAAGTCACTAAAGCCTATCACAACAAAGCTGAAGAATGTTAAATTAGCAAAGGTATTCAAACTTACTTGGCTCAAGCAAAGCAAGGCATGTTTATGACATCATGGATTGAAAATACTCGAACCGGTGATGTTTAGAGAAATCAGCACGGCTACACTTGTTACCACGGCAAGCCATATTAAAGTGGAATCTGTAGACAGAAAGTTAAAATTTCATGAATATAACTCTACTGTGAAAAGTCCGGCCTGCTTGGTACCTATATATACTTAAAAAAGAGCCTCATGCAAGCAATACCTCTTGGACCTCTAGAGTTGGTTTTAGATACAAGAAGATTCTCTACATTGTCACCACCTGTTCTTGAAACTGAGGACAGTGGATATCTAGACTGTTCAGAAGCTCTGGAAAATCCCGTTTCAGATGCTACTATACCTTGAAATTCCTCACTTACAAGCAAAGCTGCTAGTACATCCATAAACGATTCTCTTTCTTTTTCAAATTTGCTTTCTCCAGAAAGGTTGTTTGTTTGCTCATAGTCTAATATCTCATCATCAGATACATCAGTATCAGCTAGTTTTATTACCCCATCATCTTCTTCATCCTCAACATATGCCTTATATGTAAGACGTAGTAATATTTCTCCAGATGATTGTTTCCTGAAAAATCCCCAGCCACCTTTCAAAGACACAATTCTATCTGTTGGTACTGTATCTTGAAGAGAGCCTAGTTCAATCTAATAGAAACACCAACAAGAATACAAGTCATCATATACATAGCAGAGAAAATACAAATAATAAAATATACACCTATAAAAAGAGAGAACCCTGAACTCATTTTAGGTTTGACATGGACTCTCTATTAATTCCTAGAAAGCATAGTTCTGCAAAATAACATGATCGTTTTTCTCAAATTTCTGTTAATTGATGACGTTTCCAGTGCTCAACAGACATGCAAGACATATAATGCTGGGGTAAGAACTTCAAGTAATGAGATTGTCATTAGCATGAAATAAACAATGGTACTCCCACAATAAAGACAAATATATACAGTCAGCAAGGGAACTGTCACATAAAGAAGGGATCAACCTCTTCTGAAGCAGTTGAACCAAGGTTATTGAGCCTATGAGATTGATAAGACTGCAAAATCTAATTCATTCAAGTCCTAATGAAACAACTCATATTATATTGATGTATATTTACTTGTAAAGTTATATACACATGAAAGAAAACAGTATAACTAGATAGAACTATACCTAGATAGAATTAAAATATAGTCCTTAGCAGTGTCCATCTTGTCTTTTCTTCACAAGGACATATTTTATGAGTATTCCCCTGTCCATGGCTGAACATTGTGCCAAAGTGCATTTGAATTTGAGATGAATTTTCGAGCTATCTAAATTCACTTCATGTCAACATCTATCTAATATCTCCTCTGCTTATAGTTAATTTATATTATGTAATTATTATTGACTATAGTATATAGTGAAGTATAATTAGTGTATGTGTGTAGTAGATCAGTAATCATATTCCTTAGAATTAGGTACTGTATCTCTCTTGATGAGTTATTTAAAAGCTCTAGCTATGTTTTGAAGTTTTTCTAATTTTTAGGATATTCTGGCAGGATTAGATTAATATCAGAATTCAGATAATATTTTATTGGATTAGATGTCATTTTTCATATATCAGTTTACATGCAGGACAATAGTGGATTGGATAGCTGTAATGTGTTTGGATCAAATTTGAATAACATGTCATCCGTCCATTTACAGTCTCAGTTGGATCCTATATAAACTTAGGCAAATAAATAGTTTAATATTAATTCAGTTCTGTCGGCAAGGGGAGAGCCGTTTAAGTGTGCCATGCAAATGCAACTGAATTCAAGACTGTGGTAGTTGCATTACTATTAACATTCAGCTTGAAAAGAAAGCTAGAAGGTGTACCGCAATATAACAAAATTCCACAGATGGATATGCTATCCTGGAACTAGCCAGACATGTAGATGAAGAAGAGATGTAGCTAGGAATAAAACTGCCATTAAATTGAGCATACACAAAAAGATTGATCCCCAAGTGGGCACTATAAAGCCTGAAAAGTTATAAGAGAGTAAGTGGACATTGTTCCTCATATTCCATAACAGGAGACTATAACCCTTCAAATTTGATGCCAATAGTGGTAACATTGGGGTCTCTCAAATATATGGTATCAGAAACTGGTGAACATGTTGCCTCTTGGATCTTTTTTCAAAACTCTCTATTAAAAGAGTAAGATGCGACACTGGTTAACAAGAGTATTCATATTTACATGGACACAAAAAGATGACACTCTATGGGTGCAATTTGCAAACCTTTATGTGAAGGATGCCACCAGTTTCAGACAGGCTTACATTGATACATTCTCAGAAATTTAAGTGTGAGATTAAGATAATCACATATGACACAACACATTTTTTTTCGAGATTAAGAACCTAGGTTGCATGGATTTGGATACAGGTACCAGTACAGGTGCAGGTACGGGACATAATAAATATGTAAAATGTAGGATACAGGGACACGGCTACATACATATATTGAAATTAATAATTTACATGAGATCATTATTATCTTCCAATTCATTCGCTCTTCGAATATAAATTCCATCATACTTTTAATTTTCTTTTATTATGTTGATTATTATTAATTGGAAACTGCTTGGTTTTTAAGTAGACACCAGACCATCCTTTTAAATCATAGTTTTTAACTTGGATATGGGCTGAAACAAACACGACCTATGGCTAATGAGGTTCTAGAAATGAACATGAAGTGTAGGATATACGTCCGGAGTTTATGACAAGTGTTTTTAATTAATACATATATCATATAATTGAGTACATGCCTAAGTAATTGTATGAATATATCCGACGAGTGTCTATGAAGTTTGGGCACATGTACATGTAAATGTATGCATATAGCCAAGGAGTGTCTATGAAGTTTGGATACAAGTACGTGTCGGATATGGATACAACTTCGTGATAGAGGTACCTCGGTAACATAGTAAGAATTATTGAGCATTAATGACTCTTCTCGTATATATTACATATTTGGCACAAGCAATCTGCAGCTGTACCACATAGGGCTGTGAATTTTGTTGAGAATCACCGGGCATTTCACATGCATATGCTAAGCAAGAGCCTGGCAAGCCTCAGAACCCATCAAACAGCTTATTCAATCACACAAGCACACACAAGGACAAAATTGAGTATATAACCTATATAATCATATTTGACAAGACAGCTTCCTATTACACGGACAAAACATGGTAACTTCAAAACCTCACCTCTCCTGTGCCAACAGTGACATCACCAAACCCAAAAGAGTCCTTTACTTGGATCGATAATCTCTGCTTTCTAGGGTTTGCAACAAGTAAGTGGAAATCCTGTTTAATGGAGGGGAAAAGCCATAAAGTTACAATTGGCGTAAATATAAAGTACTTATCTTAAACATTCCAGTTTAATGGTCCAACAAATCAGAATAATTAACTAGACAATATAGTGATTAGGACAGAGAATGTGCTACCTGGTTCCATATTGGCTCTCCGGGTGGCCCAATGACTGTAGTCTGACTATTCTTTTTGCTTCGAATTACTTGATCCCCCAGGCTAAGAATAACATATGGATCTGTCTTCCCTGCCAAGTGACAGATTTTGCACATCATTTTATAAACACTAAAATAAATTAATAAAAATTTTAAACAGTATTTCAAATTGTAGTGCCATTGAAATCCATAACATAATGCTACATGGTACATTATGCTCCCCAGTACTTTATAAATATAAAATAAAATATACTTATCTGATGTCCCCTCTAAAAAGTTTAGCACTAATAAACTTCCACTTAGTGATTCACCAGTTCTAAAAGCTAAAAAACTGAATGTAGACCAAATGAAAGCTCATAGTCAAAAGATAAAAGTATAAATAGTTCTATTGTGAAAAAGGGAGTTGAGCTTTTTTTTCTTCTTCCCTGATTTGTTTTATTCTAGGATCCAGTTGCAAATTAATAACAAGATACTCGAGCAAGATAGATGAAAGTAGAATGGTACCAGATATGGCGTAAGCAAGTTTCCGAGCATCAACTAGAGTCACTGATAACTCCCCGACGAAATTTTGAGTTCCTTCAGGAACCGCATCAGCTTTAGGATCATCTGAAACAGGACCAAGTGCTTTGCCCTTCTGAAAATCAAGGACAATCTTTCTTGGACGCACAAAAAGACGAGGAAGATCTTCAGTGAGAAGCTTTGTCAAGAACCTACTCAAGGAAACCAACTACTTGTTTACAAACAAAATAAGATTATACAGTAAGAAATATCAAAAGCATAAAAATGAAGCCATCGACTTTAAAAGGGCACTACAACAATGGAATTACATCCATTTACAAGACAACTGGTTTGCTATCACCAAAAGCAATGCAAAAATATGAAGAAAAAATAGGATAAGTGTATAATGCATTACCGCCGAAATGCTAGAATGAGGAAGATTCTTGCATAGAAAATCGTGTAAGATGGCCTAGAAGTGGGGCTATTGGATGTTCATGCAAGCTGGGAACTAGTAACTTTTCCAGATTCCGGCACTTATTATCTAGCCATTTTGTCAACCAAATCTACTTTGACTTAGACTAGCCAATAGTTATATGGAATTCTTGCTCCAACAAAAAGAACATGGTGACTATTCAGGCCCTTATTCCCAATACTAGCACATTACTGAACTATTTGGGCCGTTAATTTTAAAATTCTCTCTTACAGAACTTCGAGTACCATCTCCGAAGCACTTTACTAGCTTTGCTTAAAACTAAAGATGTGTGAATGTAAGTCTACAGCACATATTATGGGCCCATAGATCAACATGGATTTCACAATGTAAATATTTGAAAAGAGGGTGAAAAACAAGAATTACAAAACAACAAAAGTTACCATGTCACTTGAATAGGTGAGAATTGGTATATGCAAACAATGAAAATTAATCTCCAATCTGGATGGAACTTGACCAACATCCAGTGTTTATTACTTACTTGACATAGCAACATCTCTAAGAGCACAAAGGCTTTCAAATTCATACTATAAATTCTTCAATCAAGGGATACTCAACTGAAGAAAAAAACAGGGTAAATATCATAAAGCCCCCCTTAACTTTGGACGATTATCAAAAAAGCCTCCTTAACTTTCAAAATATCAGAAAAACCCCTTAAGTTTAGGGGTTATCAGAAAACCCCCTTTAACTTTGAGTTTTAATTAGAAACCCCCTAAATTAGAGAGGTTTTTTGATAAAATCTCAAAGTTAAAGGGGGTTTTCTAATAAAATCTGAAAGTTAAGGGGTGGGAGGTTATGATAATCCTATACTTAAGGGGGGTTTTGTGATATTTTAAAAGTTAAGGGGAGTTTTCTGATAATCGTCTAAAGTTGAGGGGGGTTTTCTCATATTTACACAAAAAACAACTAATGACTGTGGGTTTAAAGTGTCAATGTGAAGTATTGCACATTTATGCTCCTAAATTAGTATAAAAATGTAATCTATCAGATCATGCATATAATACTTGAAAATAACATGAATAAATGTGAAAAATAGACAAGTGAAGTGCAAGGCAACAAACTAAGTGCAGCCTCAAACTGCTAATTGCGGCATCATGTCAGAGAAAATAAGCAACGATACCTAAATACCTGAAAAGTATCTTTAGAAAAACATAGCTTATTTTAGAAGATTCGCAAATAAGTTGAAGATAGAAGACAGCTTCACTTACATTGAAAGTACAGGAATTGCTGTGGAGATGGAGAACCCAAATTACATGCAAACAAAACAAAACAAATGAAAATTAACATCAGAAAAAAAGCAAATGATTGTTAAATACAAATGTTTATATCTATGTGTAATAGACTTGACAGTAAAAGGGAAGTAGATGGAAATACAACCTATTAAAGAAGGAGAAGTGCCATATTAAATTTGGTTTCTGATTGGACATCCTAAGAAAAATTGTTTGCTGAATTCTGAGCACATTTTGCCAACCACTAGAAATAACAAATCAGTCTTTGTGTTACAGTCAGTTACTCAATGGAAGCAATGCTATATATACTTGACACTACTCCAACTCTAGGGGCAGGGTTGATAATTTATAACACAGGAATTTTACTGTATAATTATAAGTGGAAAAAATAAGTATGGTCTTCAAAATGATTAATTGATAGCCTCTTCTAATTGAAAGCCTTTATTTAATTAATCCAAAAGCACATTTTACATAGGACATGCCGAATTAACTTCCTATTTTACAATTGAGAGGTTACACTATTTTGTAGTGCAAATGCTTAACGAAAAGTAGCTAGATAGTAAAGAAAGGTTAAGAGGCTGATTAGAAACCAAATATACTGACTTATGTGTGTTACAACATACCCATGAGATTGAATAGGCGAAATGGTGCAAGCTCAAACTTGATTTTTGGTAGAGAGACAAAAGCCCATGAAACAGCCCCTACCCAAGGTTCAGATGGAATCAATCGTAACTTTACCCATAATTCCCCGTCAATGTCAAAATCACGAATGCCAACTGGTACAACTATAGGGATTATACCAAACTTCAAGGACAGTGACAACAACATGCGAGCACCACCAGTATAACGAAGACCAATTTGGTACCTGATATAATCATATAAGAATACATGTATCCTCACAAATCAGCTATAAAGAGAATATCTTTAAATAGAGAATCATTTAATGTAAAATATTGACACTACAGAAGGGAAATAAATAACATCTGATATGAGTTTTAAAGAAGTAAAAGCTCAAACCTAAGGAAACCCTCAAGTATATTCTAGATTCATAACCCTGTCAGCGATTCAAGGGCTTCACACAAGCACAAAAATTATGTACTCAATGGAAAGTGTGCACAGCTGTTAAATGAAGTTCTACAGCCTATGCACTGTACACAACCTGTTTCTTTACATCTTTACCTCACATTACACTCTGCTACTCTAGTAATTAAGAGAAATTGTCTGGGACCACGGAAGCAACTGAATCGGTCAAGATCACCCAGAACAACATCAACTTGGGAGGCGCATCTTAAGTTGCTTTTTTGCAAGGGGATTTTAATCCTTTTCTTTGAAATTTCTGAAATAACACTTCATGTTTGTTCTAAGAATCACCCAGTTTTCTATATGAAACGTTCTATTGTATCCTAGGCAGCAAGTACTGGTTGCCATAAGGCTAGTGCAAAAGAGTGCTGCATTAGTTTACTGTTGGTGCATTTGATTCTCAACAGAAGCTTTAAAAGCTTTAATGCTTTGTTGTTGCTTAGGCAGATCTTGACCTGACTAATTTAAAGCAGATCTGATTAATATATAAGGTTCCACGATTCACGATCTGACTACTATTATCTATGCGTGTCAATTTTGATCAGACTACAAGAAATGACAAAAATCATCATCATTATCTCCTCTTTTTAGACACACACACACACACACACAATAAGGACACACATCCTCTCGTGTGTTCATGTGTGTGTGCATGTTAGGGCACACAGATGTAGCTTGGGTGTTGAGACACACCCATGGACACACACGCACAATACACAGAGGACATGAACTGCTGATAGCTGCTTGGTTTCACAGGATAGGAGACATTCTTTTCTGCCACTGTAGTAACAATGGGAGAAGGTCTTTCACTAAGTATTTTCTAGTACACGTGTTTTAGCATCTAGGATGATCAGTGGATTTTTAGTTCAAGCTTGTTAAGTTAGACTACCTTAGGATTAGTCAGAAATGCAGCTAACCCAAATAGTATATTAGAGAAAATTGGAACATCATCGATGATCTAAGAATCATTCATCTACCAGGAATTTATTTTTGTTCATAAAAACAGTAAAACTTCATAAGAGTCGACCAACAAACTTACTGCAGATCATTAACACGGCGAGAAGTCTTGCGCTCAACATTCCTAACCGACAACGGTTCCTCACCAAGCGAGAACTGCTTAATCTCGACCCTTTGTACATAATCCGGCTTCTTAAGATTATCTATCACCGGTTGCAACAACCCAATAATCCAATTCTCAATCCCACCTCTGTAAACCTTCCACAATTTCCCCAAAACCATGTTAACCCATTCCACTGACTCTTTTCTCTGAAGATCCTTCTCAAGAAACAATGAGAAGCTCGTGGGCACCTGCGGCCAAGTCCCTGGATTAACATCTCGAACCGATTTATTTCTCTTCCTGGATGTCCATAACTTATCGAAAACAACCCCAACGAAGAAAAAGAACACAAAGAAGCCTACGATACTCCTATTAATGGGAGGTGAAGGGATCGGATGAATCGATCCAAGCTGTGTCCTTAGTTTATCTACTAAAGGATCTTCTTGATAGTTTGTGAAGGTTGATGCCGATCCCGTCTTAATGGGCTCTTCAACCGAGTCTGATTTTGATTCCTCGCACACCAATTCATTGGATAATCTATCAGAGACCAGTAATTTCTGCGCTTTGCTCGTCGAGCACAATAAATCTGCATCTGAATTACTAACATGTGCTCTAATTCTCCATCTTCTTCTCTGTGCATTTCTACCAACTAGAAATCCAAAAGGCAACCTTTTTCTTCTAATAATTCCACCATTTTCTAATTTACACGGACAAATTGAAGCGTACGAGCTCACCGCGTCCTGCAGCGGCGCCAACATTTAGAGGAGAGAGCAGCAACAGCAGCAGCGGAACTCCCGCGAAACATAGCAGAGCCTAGGGTTAGGGTTTCCGAAGCCCCGATGCATAAGACGGAGCCGGGTTAGGGTTTCGATGGGGATTCACACGGACAGATTACCGGCGAAATGCACAGCCCGCACCGACTCCCGCAGCGGCGCGAACAGTTGGAGAAGCGAAGATAGCAGAGCATCGAATTAGGGTTAGGGTTTCGAGGAGTTAGGGTTAGGTTTTGGGTGGGGGTTCTGAATGGGGAAATGGTCGGTGGGGGTGAAGGAAAGAGAGAGAGAGAGAGAGAGAGGAAGGAGAGAGGGAAATGAGAAATTGGAAATGTGAAGGGAATGGGCGGCCGAGGATGAGCCATATCGGGTTCGGGTCGTTTCTGGTGGAGACGCAGGATTTGGATTCGCGCGGATAGACTGCTGTCCACGTGGAGGTGGTGGCTGCGGTCCATGCCGCAAAACTAGAGAAAGAAAAGACGGTGGCTTTTGCCTTTGCCTACTAAAGAACTATAAGTCGGTGGGCACAACGGAGAAATTGTTTACGTTGTTGAGTAAGAAAATTCACAATAAACTTTATGGTGTGTTTGGATTTCAATGGGGTTAAGGGAAGTTAAGAGAAACTAGGTGAGAGAAGGGAAGAGAAGAGAAGTAAGTTCCCTTCCCCTTGATTACACCCTAATTTGGGGGATAACAAATTTTATACTATTAAGTAGGGCTGAGCATGGTTCGGTCCAAACCGAAAAAACCGACCGAACCGGCCCGAAAAAATCGGTTTTATGAGTGGTGTGGTTCGGGTCGGTTTGAAAACTTTTTAACCCGAACAGACCCGAACCGACCGAATATAGTGCAATACTATCCATTCTGATCTCAAACCCTACCCGACTCGTCCCAAAAGAGTCAAAGACTCAAACCCTAAACTCATTTTCTGAATCATTATGGGTTGAAAACAATATCATTATATCAGTGTTTAATGCTTCATAATCTCCTACTTTGTTGATATCTTTTTTTCTTTAACACAGTTTGTTGTTTGATAAGAAGTTTGATGAAGTTAGAACCGATCAAACCGAACCGAACCGCACCGAACCGATTTGCAACAGTTCGGTTCGGTTTTGATTTATAAGCGGTTCGGTTCGGTTGTTCAAAATTTGGTAAAAACCGAACCGAACCGACCGTTGCACACCCCTACTATTAAGGGGTGAACCAAGGCGAACTAGGGTGAATAACTTCACCTCCTAAATGTTCCCAAACAAGATGAATGGTTCCTCTAACTTTCCTTCTCCCTTATTCCCCTTAATCCAAACAAGAGGTTAATGGAAAATTGAGGGGTTGATTGAGAGTACGCATATGAGGAGGGGGTCAGTGATGATATTTTTCACTGGCCCCCTTGCGCTATCAGAACACACTATATGATATGAAAATCCCCCGTTGTTGATGGAGGTTCACATGGTTGGGTGTTTTAATAGGATTCTTAGTCGTCGATAGAGATTCAAAGAGCGAATCCTAAAAAAAACTTTTTTTCGATGACATACGTATGTTCACTGAAATATGAAAATATAATGGATTTGAATTTTCTTTATTATTAGATTAGAATTCTTCCATGATGGATATTTTCTGCCTATAATTAGAATATTCATCAAGTTAAATCTATCTAAAATTAGAGAATTCTAATTCTAATTAAATATTTAGTAATCTTAATCAAATTATAGTTATCCATAACTAAACAAAAAAAATCAAATTATCATATTTTTAATTTTCTTTAATTATCCATAATCAATGAATCTAATATTCACATTTTTTTAATTCTCTTTTCTTTTATATAAAAAGAAGGGATTAATATGGTTTTGCTATTAGCCTTATATTTAAAAAATTGTCACCTGGATCTTCTTACTTTTTTCAAAAGATAGATTTCACTAAATCTTCAACGAGACGACAAATTTTCTAAAATCCCAGACAAGTTTCAGAATTTTAGAAAATCATCAAAATATTTTTATTTTTTTACACTTAACCCCATAAGGACATTACCCCATAATTTTACACTAATGAAGTTAAATGTGACAAATTTAGTTAAAGTCAATGTCCTAAAAATGGTATAGAACTTATGCAAGTGGAAAATATTCCTTATGCTTCAGCAAATGCAAGTGTACAATATGCACAAACTTGCACATGACCTAATATTAGCTTTGTAGTTGAAAGTCTACAAGTATGAGTGTTTATATGGTTGGTCTTCAAACTAAAAAAGATTAGTGTTTTTACACTAGTCAATCCATATTCATCTTTTCAAGTCTCGTACGTGTTGTTAGGTCTCATGTTTATGAGCCTACTATCTAATCTAGTTTTGATGATTAACAAACAATTCCTAACAATGTTTGTCGAGTGTTTATATTTGATTGTTAGGTATCCTACACAAAGATCCTATGATGGAGGTTGGATGGCATTGAGCGCAAATAACGATATCTTGGAGGATGGAGGATATAGGAACGAAGCTATGCATTCAAGTCAACACATCATCAAGTTTCATTCCCGCTACCAAGATCGAGCTTCAACGAGAGATCATTAGCTTGGGTATATTTTTAGTTTAGGAGTTTATTTTATGTGTTATGCTTAAAGCTCAAATATATACACATACATGTTTCAATTTTTATTGTCGTTTTTGGATTATAGACTTAACGACATGTTTGTATATCTTTTCATAAAGTTTATTAATCCATTTAAAAGGAGTTTCAAACTTGATTGAAATTATTTTGTCAAAATCTAGTGTTTTGAGATTTTGTATTTTGACCGATTTTGTAAAATAATGAGTTTTCACAAACGAAAAATGATATTTAAAAAATTTATTTTGTAACATGTTTATTTTCATGTTTATAAACATTTCCCAGAATTTTACTATTTATGGAATTTATTTGTTATTTTTATATGTATTTCAAAAATTAGATTTTCAACTTATAAACCTGTGTCTGGAAGTATCAGCTTTCGGTCGACCGGGTCTTACCCGTCGGTAGACCGGCCAGAAGAATGTTTTCAGCATCTGAGTTCTCAGGGTTTTTCGGCCAAGCGACACACTTGTATTAGTCGACCGATGTATACCCACCGATCGACCGATAAAAGTTTATCAGTCGACCGAATGAGCTCGAGTTTTTCAAGTCTGCCAACGGTCATCTAGTTGATCGACCGACCATAGTCTATCGGTCGATTGGAGATACTGTAACAGCTAGTTTCTTTTTTTGCTGAAATTCCGGGATTTTGTGATTTGTTTGGGATTTGGGCTATTGTTTGGGATTCCTATATATATCTACAGCCCTCTTCATTTTAGTAACTAAGGAAGCAAGAAAAAAAATTAAAACAAGTTTCATAAGTTTTGTTTAAGGGTTTTAAAGAAAAATCAAGTGTAGTTTCTTTGTGTGAAGAGATTTTCACAAGAGAAGAATTGCTACAACGTATTTGGGGATCTCTACCTCAAATTTCTACTTCTCTTGTTTATCGGAGAAGTTTTCTAAACTCCTTTCTTCTAGCAAATTATTATTATCGTTTTTCATATATTCTTGCTAGATTAATTTGAGTTTGATTTTATTTATACTCATTGTTTACACACACACCCATTGAGCTTAAGTATTTTCACATATAGTATAATTATTGGGTTGTGGGGTTGTAACATTGAGAGTGAGCTTAATTGAGTTCTCATCTTTGTATTAGAGAACAAATATAGTATTTACGCTTTCACTGTTGAGAACACGTTGTAATACACAAGGATACCAAGAGAAGTGGTTGGTGAGAGACGAGATCAATTCCAAGAGGAATGACGTTGATAGTAAAGCCTAGTGAGAGATGGTAAATCCAAGCACTTGAGGAAGATGACACGGGCTAGGCCAACACTTAGAGGGTGTATTGTGTGATTGCAATAGTATGAGTTATAAAGTTTATCGGTGAGCGCTGAAAACCGATTGTGTAAATATTTGAGTTGATAGTGGAGATTCTTCTCGAGGATGAGGAGCATAGACGTATGTCAACGGTGACTGAACTCCGTGATTATATTGTGTGTTTGCGTTTGTTTTTGGCATACTCTTTTATTTGGCTCTTATTGCTCATATCTTATACTCATTGTTTATATCACCTTTGTTTAATTACGCATCCTTGCAAATAACTTGTTGGATAACATATTTGCTTGGGTAAATTGTTAATAAGTTTTAATTTGGCATTGTAATCGGATTAGATTAGCAAATACCCTATTCATCCCCTCTAGGGTACTTTCACGTGTCTCTCTACTTTCCATGTCTGAGACTTTCCATGTCCGATTCTCGTATGATACCAAACACACTTAAATACATAGACTAGTTTTGCTTATCTCGGATAGTGGATACCAAGTACTTTGTCCAAATACCCATAGTAAATCATTCTTTTAGCTTGAAGGGCCACATTCTACTATTCTGGGTGGTCCAAGATTCTTCTCTCCCCTTGATTTCAAATTTGTGACCGCTTACACCAAATCCTTTGTAGTATGCAACCTTCAAGTTTGGATACCGAGCTAGACATCTCAAATCCTCATATAATGTTAATTCTATGTTTGGATCTTGGACCTGAGAAAATGGTTTGTGCAATAATTATATAAAGATACAAGTATAGATTAAGACAATGACAAAGAAATATGAGATAAGAAAATCTTACATAATTTTTGAACCAGACACAAAAATTTTCTTGATGATGCTTCTCCAGAAGTTCATCACTCCAATTGCGATGCTCTTCACGTAATTCATCCTTATGAATTCTATTCTCAACATGAATTGTTAACATTAACATTATATTGTTTTCTATTGTTTCATACATACATACATATAATAGTAAATGCAAAACAGACTTCCCTCTAACTTCTTCAAGGCATACGCTATTGAGGAGAATAAATTGATGCATTTGATTGATAAATGTGATTCCCATTGTCGTGTAAGTTGGTTTGCCATGTGTTCCATCATGAATATGCACAGGTCTATTGAGCTTCGTCTCTATGTTTTCATCCAAATAACGAGGAAAAAATGTTGTTACCTCCTCTAGGAGATAACCTTCCATTATAGAACCCTCTAACCGATTTCTATTTCGAATATAATTTTTTAGAGTGAGAAGGCACCTACAAAAACTTACATTAGATTACGACATAAAAGCATACAAAATAGAAAAGTTATATTAGTTGCGTAAAAAAAACATAATTCTATAGGATACATCCATCAATATTGTACATGTCCAGTATGCCTCACTTTGGTTGCGAGATGAACAGGCAGGTGTATGATAATATCAAAGAATGATGACGGAAAAATCCGCTCAAGCTTGCACTATAAAGGGAATTGTTTTTTTATAGCTTCTCCAACTC